GGAACCGGGGATTGAACTCAGGCCTTTGTGCTTGCCAGGGAAGCACTTATTCCACTGAGCCATCTCCCCGGCCTTTCTTACTGTTCTTAACTGAGTAATTTGCAAGGCACCATTTTGTCCTTGATTTCTAAGACCCTTTTTCATGTTGATCACATCTATAATTTATGAATTATAGATTCTTGTTTTTCTGTTACCTTTTCATGGTTAGATGTAGCTGATAAATTTGGCATACGTGTTTTGAACTTGTTTGTTCTGTTCTTCCAATTTTTTGTTTTTCCTATGTATACCTTGGTCTGTTTTTATGATAGGTTCATGAAGTTTTGGATAATGTCCTCTTTAAATTTGCAGTTTCTTTACCTTCTTTTTTATCCACTTATAAAGCCCTACGACCTTTTCATCAGTGTACCTAACCCTCCTTAGGAGAGTTCGGAGCTTTTTTTTTTTCTTCCTCAAGATCGTGTCTTGCTTTGTAGTTCATGCTAGTTTTGAACTCACCATGTAATGTCAGGCTGGTCTCAAACTCATGGCAATCTTCCTGCCTCAGCCTCCTAAGTGCTGGGATTACAGGTATATACCAGCATGCCTGGTACTATAGTTGGGAGTTCTTGGGACTTGTTGCCTTGTTTTCCCATGTTTCTCTCTCAGTTTGTCTATCTCCCCAACTCTCTCTCAATCTCTTGTGTGGTTTTTTTGTTGTTTTGTTTTTAATTTTTGTTTTTTTGGTACTGCTGCTGAAGGTCAAAGTAGAGTTAAGAGAGATTATAGTTAATATGAAGATATTATATATTTATATTTATATTTAATGTGAAGATATTTTACCTTCTAGTGATAAGTTCATGGCTTTCTATTTTGTACAAAGATAATGTTCACCCTTCACTTATTTAATGTTTTTATATCTTGTCACTGTGTTGTGCTAACAGAATTACCACTGGTTAAAACAACTTTAACAGATCCAATCAACACTTGCATGTGTTCAACCTTGTTGACACATTCATCCTTTACCAGCATCCTTTACAGTCTATAGAGACAAGTACCCAGACTACAAGCAAAGACCCATTTATTTATCATAAAGTGCCAACACTGCAATTAAACCCGAATACTAAGATGTTAGTGTAGAAATAACTCATACATTAACATCTTTTGTCTTAAAAAGAAGACACACATGTTATAGGTTCATCACCACTGCTCTTTTAGTGGTAACTGGGATATGGAAAAAGAAGGGAAGGGAAGCCTGAAAGAGGGCTGAAAGTCATTAGGAAGAGAGGGAGGAGCAGTAATAGGTAAAATTAGGGAGTCAGACTCTATTGGAGGCCCTTTATATTTGAAGTAGAGGGGAATGTTAGAGGTTGGTATTTGTAGGGACAGGACAAAGACAGAAGAGATGTAATTTTGGATTGAAGAAAACTGTATTTGTATACCTGCAAGGTAGTAGAGAAGGAGCAGCAAGGGCAAGGGGCTAAGTAAAGTAAGGAAGAGCAAAAAATAGAATATAGAGGACAGAATGTTAACATGAGAGAAGGTAGGAAAGACCAAAAGGACAGTAGGAGAGAAATCATTGAATTTTAAAAGTGGGAGAAACTAGCAAAAAACAAAATAATACTGGTACAGAAGCTAGAATTGAAAAGGAATAAATAGAGAAGAAAGAAAATAATTACATCAAGGCATTAAAAGCAACAAAAACTCCAATGGCAATCAGATCCGACACTTTAGCAAGAGGATGAATGTGCAGTTACTACATGTGCATTATGCCCTAAAGGCTGACTGTGCACATGGCTTCCTGCTTTAATTGTGTTCTGTTCATATGTAGCCAAACCAGCTCTCCTCCATCTCTGGTGAGGGGTGTAAGCTTTGTTTGATCCCACCTTAATGCAAGCTGTGTGTTGGGCATTCTCAGCTGTAGTCTTTGGTCTCTCCCACAATGTGACAACCTAGTTGGTCTCCAGAATTCATCTTTGCAGCCAGCAAGCAGTGTCCGCCATGGTTCTCAGGCTTGAGAGAAGGACACCTCATCCCTGAGTGCAAAGATAATCATTGTTTAGGTTTCTTGCTCACTCAGGTTTTTCCAGTCTTTATAAAAACAGGCAAATATCACTCAGTGAACTGATCAACCCTACCCTACCTGTCAATAGGTGTGATCCATGGCGGGACCCGGGGGCAGGCA